TCTGCTGTGCGTTGGTGCTGGTCTGAGTTCTGCTGTGCGTTGGTGCTGGCCTGAGTTCTGCCATGTATTGGTGCTGGTCTGAGGTCTGCTGTGTTTTGGTGCTGGTCTGAGGTCTGCTGTGTGTTGGTGCTGGACTGAGGTCTGCCGGTGTTGGTGCTGGTCTGAGGTCTGCCATGTATTGGTGCTGATCTGAGGTCTGCCGGGCATCAGGTATGTAAAAAACCTGTGTTTTATGAAAGTGCAGCGTCTGGGCTGGTCTGGAGTTTTAAGATAATACAGAAACAGGGATCACACTAAAACTGTAAGTCCAGTTTACTTTTTTAGTACATGTAAATATATTTTGTGTGTGCAATAGTTATAAAATGTTTTCACTTACAGTTGTGCTGCTAACGGCAAGATAAACACATTCAAATAATTAGTGAGTTTAACTTATTATTAGCAGTACAACTATGAGTACAAAAACTGAAATTTGCTAATGCCATGGTGCACTATTGTTCAATGGCACTCGGTTGTCTGATGGTTGCAAAAATGGCACTCGGTGTGTAAAAGGTTGCTGACCCCTGATCTAGAGCAAAGCAAAACATTTTGTATTTTTAGTCCAGTTAGCACAGCAGTGATGCCATGACAAATCAGTGATAACACTGATTTGTCTGGGTAAAATATTTTATTAATCTAAATTGTGCTCAGTGTTGGATCCACGAAGGTTACCCCCTTTTTTAAATATAGATCATATTTATTTAAAAACTATGCCATAAAAGAAGAACACCTTCTGAAAGAAACAACATTGGTTGCTGGACTCACTTTATTGACAAGATAGCACCTGCAAAGTAGTTCACACATTGATTTAAAAATGTTAAAAAAGTTCTCCATTAGTAGATGTTGAAATGAGACCCTGTCTAAATGAATCAACCACCTCCCTACTAGTATATTGTAAAAAAAATGTCAGGGAGGTGGATGTGTATTGTGCTTATAAACATCACTCCAGATCCAAGTGGCTCTGTGCCTTGTGATCTGTTATGGCCATTTACAGCGATCACATACAGTATGTAAAAGGTACTACTGTTTACATTTAAGAGCCTGCTCCTTTCTCCTATCTTGCCCATTCTTCAAATCTTCTGCATTCCTCTACTCTGAGCAGTGAGTAAACCTGCTCACATTGACCATCAATAAAGGAACACACACTGAGCAGCAAGGCAGGGCACATTAACCCCCATGGAGCAGCAAGGGAGTACAGAGGGGGTATATAGTCCCTAAATGGGGCACACTGACTACCAATGTTATGATGGAAAACACCACTAGCCCCTACTCACTCATTACTTAGTAATGATCACCAACGTGTAAGAGTGCACACACCATTGTCCACCAACAATTAAAGAGGCACTCACCACAGGCCAACATCATAAGGGACACTAAGACCTGACCACTGAAATCTGCAAGCTGTTCAGTGAATTCCATAATCATGACCTACAAGGGGTATATTTGGCTAGTACTCAAGTGGTTAAAACTGTTAATCTTTAAACTGCAATGAAGAGCTGAAAAAATGGAAAACAATGTTTTGAAAATATGTTTAAGTAACAATGTATTACTATGTTATGCAATTAATGTGATCCATTGAACAATCAGTAATTGATAATATATCATATATAGGGAGTGGCAAATATGAGCCACATCACTACTTCATCTATAGCCAATAAATGAAACAGAATTTCCAGTATGGTTGTAAATAAAGACCCTTATCTGCACATTGCTCTCAGATCATGGAAGCCTTGTTATCTCACCTCTCCCACTTTACATCCTCTTTCTGAAATCTTTAGACTTGCTTTGTCTAAGCACCCACCCATACCATCTGCAGGAAAAAAAATAGTATTGTGCATTAGTCACGCTGCACAATTGGCCTGAATCAGGAGGACTTAAATTTGGATCAGTGTACATTGCAAGTGCCTGATCCTAGTGTCTATATTGAGATGTGCTAGGCTGCTATTTTGTATTGAGAGCTGGTTTACTGATCACAACATGGCTTGTATTTGACATGTCTCTGTGTCTAGTTCAAACTTAGATACATGCTACTACCTGGCTTTGGTTAAGGCCCAGAATGTTTTCAGATTCTGCCTGCCACCTCCTTTGACATTCTGTTCATGCTTAGACTATGCATGTCTGTTGCCAGCCCCCAACCACTCATTGACCTCATTATATAATAATATTAATAGCATAATAACCTGAGGACAACAGGTTAGGGTAAGAATCCTGAGATGTCATGCAGTAAGTCTCCCCTTGTGGGATCTATTCCAGCCAGTAGGGAGCCAGGGACTAGCGTTGGCACTGAGTGCATGTCATCTTTAGTGTATGCCGGAAGTTACTGAGATGTCTTGAAATGAAGCATGAGTGTGTGGGGGTTAGTAAGAGATTGGAGATGAAGGGTTTATGATGTGGCAGATGGAAGAATGATGAGAGCTGTCAGGGATTCTTGAGGCAAACTACCTAGGACTGTTAAGGTGCTGGGAGGGATATGTGTCAGGAGTGAGGCTTCCTTGGGAACATGCTTGGGATGGATGTGGAGCTGCAGGGAGACCATCATTGGGTAATAGAGGGGAAGATGTAGGGAATAGAAGAGGAAGGAGGAAGATAAATCCCTACTGCCGGAAGAATCCTCCAATAGCAAAACAAAACTCTCATGTTAGCATTATCCTCAACTAGCATGAAAGTGTGCTGTGAAAACAAAACTCTAACTGAGGTTTTAGATTATTAAGGATATACTTATGAATATTCACACAGAAAGACAGACTGCAGGAAAAGACAGCTTAGTTTACATATTTTGCAACCAATGCAGTACAGCTCTACAATGTGCAGCTACCATGACATGTTAGTCAATTATAAGCAAAATTAATCTACTTTACAATTCAGTCTTTACTAAGGCTTATAGGGATCAGTAAAACACGCATATGATTTTCAGACTTACAGGTCCTTAAAGTGTATTTCCAGTTTTGCAGCCATATTGGGATAACACCTACTTTATGTGTGTTACATATTATCATTCACATAGCTTAACTAAAAAAAAAATGTTGCTGCCTACATTTTGTTCTTACCTTATCTGCTTAAAAATCATACCTAGCTTCCTATGAAATGTTCAGCAGGGGGCTGTACAGTTAATGTTTACCACAATAAACCCTGTCTGTACTTTGCTGGCACATTTCATTATCAGTTGCAAAGAAGATTTCGACACTGTCTGTCCTAGGGTTAAATATCTCAAGACTTGTGTTCTGCATTATATGTTAATGAGTGGAATCTCACTCTTTAAAAAAATATATTTAGGCATGCTGTGTGATGAGAACACATAACAAATTTACTGGGTTATTCTAAAATGTGACTGCCAGAGTGGATCTTGTGATTTTGTTATCACAAAAGCAAACAGTTACGCACCTTCTAACATACCCTATTATTCAAGGTACCCTTATGCGCGCAAACTTGTTTAGGGGTGTAACTCTAGTGATGGAAGGATACAGATGTCAGCACTGGTTCCTACCCTTTTAAAAACAAGTTGTTAATGCCAGCTACTATGTTATCCTTACAACTGCCTTTTATGCACGACAGGCTATAGGCAAGATAAAGAGACAGAATTAAAAAGCTGATAATTGGAATACAAACTATATAAACCAGCTTGCATAGTTATATATATATTTTTTTACGTTAGTCATCAAGGTTGCATACTTTATAATAATGCATCATGGCCATATAGTATATAACGAATTTGAATGTTAAAATATCAACAATGTCAACAACACCATACAGCCATATGAGCAATATTATCTATATTTTTGTCATTGAATCCTGTTAAGCCTACCCTAGTACCATTTAATAGAGAGAACTGAGACCCACTTTGTGGCATCCTCTTTTTCTGTAACTGTATAAAGTCAATCTCTAATCATCTTAGTCAGTCTACATTGATTGCTAAGGCTCAAAATCTACAGTTCTGATTACTGAACAATAGACATTCACGCTGGGTATCATTTAATATAGTCTTTGCACGTACAGTACAATCTCTGGATTTCAGCTCTGTTCCATGGGTGCAAGAACACTTTTACTTTGCATATATGTCAAAATCCACTGAATACTACAATATATATATATATA